TGGGTGGAGGGTATAAGGACCTCTCTGTACTATCTTCACAACTTCCTGTGAATCTGTAATTATTTAAAAACGAAAAGCAGAAAGAACAAAACAAAAAGGAGATGGTGGTCATGAGGCTATGATTTGATGAGATGCATCCTCATCATAAAACATTGTGGAACCTTGTTGTAAGGCTTTTACTTGATTTCTTGCCTCTTTTACCAAAGACATCATTGTACATTGAGGTTCCTTTACCTAAGTCCTCCTGGATGCAATCCAGAATGTTCTATCCCACTAAATGGTGTTACCGCAAGGTTCTAATACATGAGTGTAGCAAGAGGAGTGTGACATGTTCAGTCTAGGCGCACAGAACATCAGCTCAGAAAGGCTTTCATTTAGAGTAGGTCCAGAATGGAGAAGGGGCCCAGCCAAGGTCACCAAGTAGTTGATGGCAGCAACAGGACTGGAGGCGGGATCTGGTGCCCGGCCTGGAGCCCGGAGCCCCTCCATTCTACCCACCTGCCAACTCTCCTGGCAGCTCTTCATCCCAGAGTTTTGAGGTGGCATTAAAATTCAGAACTCATCCGAGGTTAACTCTGAAAGCAACATCCAAAGAACGCATCAATGCCAACAGGGCATCTCTTTTAATTGCCTATTCATGCAGACAGATTGTCTTTTCATATTCGGAGCTAAACTTGGAGGCATGTCCTTTCATAGGGCACTCATTACCCCACTGCCTCATCAGTAATGGGAACTAATGTGCAACGTGATTGCTGAGTGCGAGTTCTATTTTCTCCTACCAAGCAGGAAGTTTAAAATCTGCTGGGTTATTTTTAAAGAGGGTGAAAAAATAGGCATCTTATCAGCTTCCCAGTGGTCATGTCCAAGGCACATGCTGTTTTACCCAAGGCATTGGCCAGGTTGGGAGGGACACAGGTGATGTGAAGTTTCACCAGGAGGATTTCTCAGTGGAGGGGTGGGGGAGGGGTGGGGGATGAGTGTCCACATACTCAAGTGGCAGGAATGGACGAGGGCTAGCTGCCACTTTGTTGAGGACAGTGGTCCTGGCATTTTCTGGAGTTGACAATTGGTGTTTTCTTCCCCTGGGGATTTGTGGCTACCTGCCTCCTCTTCAGCCATGGTCCCCAGCCCTGGACTGAGTCGAACCAGTGAGTCTGTTCCTGCTCGGTCATTTGCGGGGCCTTGGACTCGCGTCAAATGGGTCACAAATGTGAGTCTCACGTTCCCAAGTAGATGAGGAGTTAGGGAGAGCGAATCCCTGCAACTCTAATATTTAGCAAATATAGTGATAATGTGAAAGCATTTTTAGTACTTATATTTAGTATTTATGAAATATTTACAGTACTTATGTGAAGAAAAATCTAGTTGAACTTGGCTTCCATTGACTTAAACATTTCTTGATCACTGACTTTGTGTGAGGCACCATGCTAGGAACTAGGATTGCAATAGAGCTGTTTTTGGAGAATTTCTCCACATTCCCTGGAACAAGTAGCACAACCCTAGAGATCACAAACCACCCTGGGAATGGCTGCAGTAGAAAGTTCTAGAAATGAAGGACAGCTGATGGGCACTGAGGAGGGCACTTGAGGTAATGAACACTCAGTGTTATATGCAACTGATGAATCCCTAAATTCTACCTCTGAAACTAATAATACACTATGTGTTAACTAAATTGAATTTAAATAAAAATAATCAAAAAAAGGAAATGAAGGACAGAATTGTTAACCCTCCCTTCCTTGTGTGAATCATCAGGTTCTCCTTCCCTCTGCTTGGTCTTACAAGTTTGGAAGTGCCTTTCTCTGCTACTATGTAGGAGGGCCTGCACAAAATATCTTGCTTAATCTTCTCAATGATGCTATTAACTAGTTATATTTACACCAATTGTTCAGAAGAGAAAAATGAAAACTGGATTTTGTGAGTGATTTGTCCAATGTCTCAGGGCTAGTCAGGGGCTGTACTGGCTCGGATATGTGAACGTTTCCAGACCTGCTTGCAGCCCGAAGCTTGGCAATGGCTGTGCATCTCCCTGAGGTGAACCCTCAAGCCAAGAAGCCCAGGAAACCGTCTTGCAGGATGTCTGGTCAGGCCAGTTGGAAAGGGAGCTAGAATGGTGGGATGTGGATCTGCGCCCATTCGTCTGTGACTCAAGCTAGCGACTGTCAAGTGAGGGGCAGAGGGAGTGAGCGTGGAATTTGAAGACAATAGGGAACCCAGGACTAGTGAAATAAAAGATTTTCTCCAACGGCTGTGTGGGATCCTTACCCTTTATCCACCCTGCCTGAACACGGTGCAGTAACAGATGAGGTGGGATGAAACAAGGCCCAGTTGGACTAACACTTCTGGCCTGGGGCTTCACAGGGAAAAACAACGCAGGCCACAGAACCAGAATCACAGGACTAAAGAATCTCAGGGGCAGAGAAGATCTCAGAAGCCCCTCCATCCAACCGGACCCTGAGGGGTGGCTACACTGTCTTCTAGCTTCTGCCTCCTGTGATGGGAGCTCACACCTTGATCGCCATTTTGGGTGGACTTCTCCTTCTTTTGGGAAGCATGGATGACATTTAAATATGGTATATACAAGACCAACTGCACATGGGCATTTTGGGGGCCGCAGAAGCCAAGTAGGGGCCTTTGTGTTTATTCAGGTGGCTGCATGCACACCCTCCTTCCAGTTCCTCCTAGCTGTGGAAGGGGTGGAGGGTGCTTTGTGGCAGGCAGGTGGGCTCAGCCTTCTCCCCCCAAGCTGTTTAGGGCCTCAGATGCTACAGGCTTCACTAAGGACCGAATGACAAAGCCTCCCGTCAGAGAAGTAAAAGGCAAATGCAGTAGCATATACTTGATCTTTGCAAAAGGAATAAATCAAATGGTGTACTCACCCTGAGGCCACACAGAGGGTGATGCACAGTCAAAAATAAAACGACCTTCTGTTCTCCAGGCCTGACTCAGAGTTCTGGCCCCCAGAATTTCTTAAAGAACACAAGGAAGGAATTTCTTAAAGAAACAGAGCTTGCCTGCTAAGCAGGGCCCAGGGGCTGGTGAGGTCAGCCGTTTACCGGGCCTCCCTGGCCCAGGCCTCCTTGCCCTGGCTTCCTGTAGGCCTTGTGGGTGAGCCAGCGGATATCAATCTTCACCCAGACCCGGGCTGGGCCAGAGCAGACCAGGTGGGGCCTTGGTTTGACCTCAGTGATGAGGATACCCAAGAAGAGAGCTGCTTGTCCCTCTGTGGCCCCCCCGCCACCCCAGAATGCTGCCACCATCACAAACATCAAGTCAGGCTGGCCCTTGGTGGGAGACACGCCATGTGGGGAGAACTTCTTTTTCTCCATCTTCCCACTCCCCAGAAAGCTTCCTTAGGGCACACAAGTGACAGCCAGAGCTAAACGCTCTGCAGGCTGATTAGCTGCATTAGGCCAGTGGCCGGGGTGGTGGCGCCTGTAAGTCCTCCAAGGGGGGCACCCACAGGTGTATGCAGACTCGGGGGACTCGAGCCTGCACACCAACCTCTGCTTGACAGAGCAGACAGGTGGCGGCCCACTGCCAACGACACGAGCCCCTGTCTTTCACCTGGTGTCTTCATTTTCCTTGACTCTTTCTGCAGGGCCACATTTTCCAGTCTTTCAACTGAATGAAGTTCTCAGGCCCCACCTGCCGGGAAAGAGCTCACTTGTACCACACACATGATGCGCGGCTTGGGAAAATCATTTAATGACAGAGAAAGCACACACCAAACTATAACAGAAGCGCGTCGGGAGTTGCCCCTGTACAACTCGGAGGCCAGAGGCCCCAAACTAGCATAGGACATTCGCGGGGAAGTCAGTCATGATGAAGGGAACATCATATAGCATTTCTGAGAACACAGAGGAGGAAGGAGGCAGCGATGACTCACACACGGGCTGTGTATCTTCTGGAACGTGGCCTCCGCTGCAGGCAGTTTCTCTCTCCCCCCACCCACCCCCTCCTTCTTCATCTGATGGTAGGACCTGGGGAGGTTTGCAAATGACCAAGTAAGAGAGAGGCCTCGTAGATCCAAATCACTTGAGGGCCAATGTTGTAGGCAGACGCGGCCCAGGCGCTCCACGGGTCACACCCATGTAACTTGGCATGAGTCCTCTGGACGGTGGCTCAGGGAGCAAGTATGATGGGTGACAGCAGCTTCTCTAGAGTCTAGGGTCTGTGCACGACTTCGCAAAGGCATGCTAGGAAAGAGGTTTACCCATGAGACTTTGCCAACCCCAAAGGCTAAAAGTCATTCTCGTTTCTAACTAGGTTTCAAATTAACGGACAAGAAATAAAAAGAAAGGCAGCAACTCAAAAATTACTTGGAATATTGTGGCACTTCACCAATCTCTTTTGCTTATAATATATGGCAGAGCAAAACGGAACCCTGTCGATATAAACTTTCATTATAGATAACCCTATAACTGTACACTCTCGGAATACAGAAAGAATCCTTCCTATCGTACATGTCTCATCTTTAAAAATAATCTAACATAGTCATATTCTCTGGCTAGTAACAAACTATTAACATCTTCTGAGAATACAGAGAAAACTTTGGGATTAACAGTAAATCCTCTGGCGTGCGCCCTCCCCACCCCCCATCAGCATCATCTATGAACGCATTTCTGCAAAAGCATCCCAGAATCATTGTTAAAGGAAAGGAATATGTTCTAGTTTTCACCAAATGGATTTTTAGCAAGAAGTGATGGAACATTTTTTACCTTGGCAAAAATGAAGCACAAACATAACATTTCACTGGTTCGGGCCCATGCAAATGCATGTTTTGTTATGTGGGGGGTGTTTTATTCTCACCCCGAAATCACGATTAGCATGCACATTGTTTTCAACTATCAAGTTAGAGATAATTATTGGCAGTGCACCTCTCTGTGTAACCATGATCACTAAGGCAAGATTATTATTTTACCTTGTATAGAATATCAGCAATATCTTGTCAGATGCATGTTTATATAGTATAGACCTGCAACTTACTGTTTTTTTTTTTAAAAACAAAAACAAAAACAAAACTCAAAACACAGATCCCTAAACACAATTCAATTGAAAATGAACTGTTAAGCTTTTAGAAATAGATTTTAAACTACAAGGCTGCCCTGTTTTTTTGTTTTGTTATGAATATTTTAAAAAGTTCCCACCCCTAAAAATTTGCCAAATTATTTCTTCGCTCTTGGTAACAGTCTCGCAAATTTGCTACCATGGCTGACTCTCCCTGAACTGCAGTGACGAAGGTCCTTCATGGGAACACGATGCTCGTCAGGGTCAGACCAGTTACGTTCTCTGGCTCTCAACCGGCAACCCAGACGACCTTTAGTCCTCAATCCATCCATTGGACGGTGGTCCCGGCGACGGGTGTTGGACCGCCCCAGGGGTGCTTTCCGATGGGCTTGGCTTGGCTGCCCCATGTTGACCTTCGCGCGCTGGACCCCACTGCCATCTGACTGGTGGCATGTCCTTTGTTTTTCAACAGGAACGCACGGGAGCTGAAATTGCTTATTCGAGAGAAGCTGAGGCAGTGGAGACAGCTCCTTGGCCTAGCCAAAAACAGATGCCAGGTGAACTTGGTATGTGTTTGTGTGAAGCCAATGCAGCAGCAGGATCTGGAAAGTCCCCGGGAACTGTTCCCTGCTCTGGACGTTTCATACGACAGAACCTTTGGAAGAGGACAAGTGGATTGACTGAATCCTGATGGCCAACGTCCTCTGTAAGTCCTGGAGCACATCCTGGCCTGTCCCTTCGCCATTTTTGTCATAGAGGAGCTGCTTGAAGGCTTCGTTTTCAATGAGGACCATCATGTTTTTGAGAAAGTAGCCTTCACAGTATGCGGAGAGCTCTGTGACTCCAAGGAACTGTGGAGAGAGACAGGAAGCAGGAGGAGGTTATGGTTCTGAAATGCACCTGGCTGCCTGCATACCTAATAATGGAGAACAGCCGTGAAGGTAGACTGACGACAACAACAGCCCTGATTCTCTGCCCTTTGCTCTGTATTCGCCTAGGCGGCTGGGGCTCATTTCTCCCTGGCGTGGCCCTGTGACTTCCTCAGGCCAACAGCAGGGGGCAGCAGTGAGAGCCGCCAATCCTGAGCTAGCTTTAAGGGGCCAGGTGTGGACTTCGCGCTCTTGCTCAGAACCCGGGCTCTGCAGCAGAACAGGCCCAGGCGAGCCTGCTTGGAGGGTGAGCGGCTCCAGGAAACTGAGAGGAGACAGTGACAGAGCCCAGCCAGGGTCACCAGAGCCAAGCACAGCGGACCAGCCAACTGATTTCAGAAGCAAGGCCCATGGAGACCAGAAGAAACTTCCAGCTCTCCTGTCGACTCACGGGGCTGAAAAGTGCTTACTGGTTTAACCCCTGGGTTTTGCGTTTCTTTGTTGTACTGTAGCTAACCCGCACATGAATGGAGTTGCAGACACAGCTCTAAGCTCTTCGAGTACTAACCCATTTGACTCTCACAGCAAACCCGAGTGGGCATGGACTACCTATGCCCTGGATTTAGGGCGGTGGCTTCTCAACCAGCGGTGATTTTGCCTCCCAGGGGACATCTGGAAAAGCCTGGAGGCCGTCTGGTTGTCACAACTGGGTGGTGGTGGTGATGTATGTACTATCGGCATCTAATGGGTGGAAGCCAGGGATGCTGCTAAAGCTCTCACGATGCACAGGACAGCCCCTGCCGCAGAGGATCCTGCAGCTCAAGCTGTCAGTGCCGAGGTTGAGAAAGTGATCTAGAGACGGGGTTCCTCACAGACTAAGCCAGTGGGGAAGGGATTATGTTGACCTAGCTCAGGGGCCAAGCCAAGGGCTTGGCACATGGCAGACACTTAGTCTTTGTTGAATGTACGAGTGAACAGTTAACTAACAGAGTAATGGACTCACAGTGAACATTTCCCGAGAGCTTACAATATGCCAGGCACCTCGCAAGGCACTTCGCGTGCATCATCTCATTTAATCTTCAACTTTCCTGGAGGCAGGCGTACTACCACCTCCAATTTACAGACGAGGAAACAGATAAGAGAGTAACCTACAAAAGAAATCATGCAGTGCATCCAGGGCAGAACCAGGAATGGAACCCTGGCAATTCAAGTCCTTAAGGCTGTGCGCTTAACCACCAAGACATTGCCTCCAGCCTGACACCATTACTCAGAGGCCGGGTGTTTAGCCGCATGCGTGTGCCTGGTGGAGGGACTCATGTTTGAGGCACAGAAGTAAATGTGGATATGTCGGTTGGCTGTCTTCAGACCTTTTCTACAGTTTCCAAAGCTTGTAAGTCTATCACAATGAACTGGATGCTCAGAAGTTGTTAAGAGCTCCTTGAGATGACATCCTGCTACTTTATTTAGATGAATTATCTAAATCATCTAAATGCTGAATCATCCTTCTGAACTCCCTAATAACCTGTCCTTTAAACTAGAGATTCACTTTAAGTTGGCAGATGTGGAATGGTGCAGTGATAATGAGGCAGTGCCAACAGGGTTTCAGTGGAATGAGCTGGAACACTCGGATTCAAGTGAGGGCTCCCCTACCTTCCTGAATATGTGACCAGGGCTGGGTGACTTGGCCCCTAGCTTAGGTTCATCATTTTCAAAATGAGAATTAGGACACCAGCATCCCGAATCTTGTTGGGATGATTTATGGCATGATTTTGTCATCTGTCACACTTAGGAGAGGCAGAGCTAAGGGAGGGGCCTCTGGGATCTTTTCTTTCTTCCTTCCTTCCTTCCTTCCTTCCTTCCTTCCTTCCTTCCTTCCTTCCTTCCTTCCTTCCTTCCTTCCTTCCTGATTTACGACTTTAGCTATCAGGTGTTGGGCAAGTATATAATCTCTCTTTGCCTCAAAATTCCTATCTGTAAAATGGGGATAATGATAATACCTACTTAATAGTCTGTTGTTGAGATTGAATGAGATAATGCAAGGAGTGTCAGAGTAACGGTCAACTGTAGTCACACTCACTGCTAGTTGTCATTGCAAATGTAAACTATTACTCTCCTTCTCACCAACTGGTATCCAGTGACCCACATGGACAAAGTACGTGGTCAGGCTGGGAGAAAGGGAACTGACTGTATCTACAGAACCTAGCCCAGGGGCGCCTGGGTGGCTCAGTTGGTTGAGCATCTGACTCTTGGTTTTGGCTCAGGTCATGATCTCACGGTCGTGGGACTGAGCCCCACATCAGGCTCCGTGCTCAGTGGGAATCTGCTTAAAGATTCTCCCCCTTTGCCCCTTCCCCCCCACAATAAATAAAAATACATCTAAAAAAAAAGAACCTAGCCCAGCTAACTGGCCCTTAGAAGGACCAAGCCTGTAACCATGAACTCACTGACACCATGTGCTAATTCACTGAGCCAAAGGCAACTCTGTGTATAAAAACCATGTGCAACCTTGTGCAAATCAAATCACTTTCTGTGCCTCAGTTTCCCCAGTTATAAAATGAAAGGAATGAACCAGAGGCACCAGGTAATTATGAGGTCTCTGAGAGATTCAGAAGATGTGGTGAGGTTTATCAGGTGAGAGGGCTTGTTACCACCCAATGTTCATACTGGGGCTGGGAGAGATCTTAGGAATGCTTTCATTCTTTCAACATGAACCCTGCTCTTAGAGTCATAGAGTAAAAGCCCTCACTGTACAGGCAGGGAAACTGAGGCTCAGAGTTGCCTATCTTTGATTCTGTGGACACAGAGAGCATCCCCCTTTACCACACCTGGCCATTCACTTTGTATATGAATGTCACTCAGCATAAGGTAGTGTAAGTGGAGAACAGTAAGTGTAAATGGAGAACAATAAATACTTACATTTATATTTGGTGATATTTATTCAATGGTGACTATACATCAGACCCTTGACTACCTCCACACAGCTAATTACTGACAGAACTGGGGTGGGAACTCTCATCTCCTGGACCAATGGTTGACAAATTGAGGGCCTGTGGGCAAAATCTGGCCCACTAACTGCTTTGGTAAATAAAGTTTTATTGGAACACAACCACATCCATCGTTTCCATATCATCTATGGCTGCTTTTGTGTGACTACGGCAGAGTTGAGGAGGTATAACAGTGACCGTATGGCCTGTGTGGAAATATCTACCTGGTCTTCCACAGAGAAATTTGCTGACCTCTATCCCTAGACGATAATTTCTCAAGGGCAGAGACTATGTCTTACTAATTTATTATATTCTGATGAATACAGTTCCTGGTAAATAGTGGGTGCTCAATGAACACTAATGAATCCCCTGGTTTCCAAATCTGTGTTCTTTCTAGCACAGTGCACTGTTGAGCTTACTGCACTAGCTTAGATTCAATTTGATGAACCAGCCTATTCTTTTTCCCAGGTTGAAAGATAACTCGAAAGGGCCATCAGAAGCTCCAGGCACCCCCCCTTTTTTTTTTAAGATTTTATTTATTTGTCAGAGAGGGAACACAAGCAGGGGAAGTGGGAGAGGGAGAAGCAGGCTTCCCGTGGAGCAGGGAGCCTGATGCGGGGCTCGATCCCAGGACCCTGCGATCATGACCTGAGCCAAAGGCAGACGCTTAACAACTGAGCCACCCAGGTGCCCCTCCAGGGCCCCTTTTTCATGACTGAATAGTTTGGAACAGCTTTGCCGGGGGAAAACAAGATGGCTAAGCCATGCACTTATGGGATGGCCTTCTCATCTGTATAAAATTCCACAGCTGTCTCAGTTAGATGTCATATAGAGGTATTGTTGCCAAGGGCTTGTTGACATTTGGAGCATTGTTATTAGCGTGTAAATGCCTGTGTTTCCTGGGGTTCCAAACCAAGAGTTGGTTTCTTTCTTTTCCATCTTTCACTAAACTAGCCTCAATTTGCAGCACAATCTGCCAGGAATAGAACTCATGCAGCATGTGATCATCAGTGGTGGTGCGGTACCCAGAGCATGGGGGAAGCAGCGCAGAGAAAGGGCATGGGCTGGCTGGCTTTGCCCTGTCCCCCATGCAAGTATCATGAGGGGCCGACTTCTGCATTGGAAATACAGCAGGATGTGGCCTGGGGGCCGTGGCAGTGGCTGGAGTCTGTAAAAGGCAAAGCTCTGGCTGCAAAGGTGTATACGCCAAAGGGGCAGCTCCCTGCCAGAGGTATTCAAAGCCTGCAGCACACGTGTATTCCCAGCCTGGGCTCACACCGCATCCGGCTGCATTATTAAATACGAGAGCTACGGAAGCCGCTTGCCAAGGAGCCTGGAGTGATTAAAATGGATCGCTGTCAAGAGGACCGGCCACGGCAAAGCCACTGGTGGGTGCTGGGTTCACAGGGCACTTTGAAGGTCCATGGCCAGGGGAGGGGAAGAACTACAAGCAATAACCAGGCTCTCCTCTTGGGTAGAGAGCAGCCTCTGGATGCTTTCCTGCGAAGTCATCAGTTTAAGATTAAAAAAAATGTACTGTGTCCTGAGAAACCAGATTTTGGTAAAACCTTCACTTAACTAAAATACCTAGTGCATGTGCGTGCATGCGTGTGCGTGTGTGTGTGTAGGAAACAGCTTGCAGTTGTTGATTTACTGATGACCAATCAGAAAATCTTTTCTGAGTATCAACAATTATTGCACATATTTCAAACATTTATTAGGCCAGACAATAAACACAAGGTTAGGAACCTGTGCTTTGGAGTAAGACAAATCTAGACTTACACTTCTGGGTATATGCCCCAAAGAACTAAAAGCAGAGACTTGAACAGATATTTGTCTACTCCCCACCCCACCCCGGCGCCATGTTCATAGCAGCATTATCCACAGTAGCCAAAGAGTGGAAGCCATCTAAGTGTCCATTGACAGATGAATGGATAGACACAGTGTGGTCTCCCCATACAAGGAAATACTATACAGCTTTAAAAAGAAATGAAATGGGACGCCTGGGTGACTCAGTCCTTAGGTATCTGCCTTCGGCTCAGGTCAGGATCCCAAGGACGCGGGATCGAGTCCCATGTTGGGCTCCCTGCTCAGCGGGAAGCCTGCTTCTCCCTCTGCCTGCCGTTCCCCCTGCTTGTGCTCTCTCTCAAATAAATAAATAAAATCTTAAAAAAAAAAAGAAATGAAATTCTGACACATGCTACAGCATGGATGAACCTTGAGAGCACTGTGCTAATGGAAATAAGCCAGTCACAAAGGGCCAATACTCCATGATTTCACTTACATCAGGTCCCGAGGGGAGTCAAATTCATAGAGATATAAGGTTAAGTGGTGGTTGCAGGGGCTGAGGGGAGTGGGAAATGGGGACTTAGTGTTCTGTAGGTACAGAGTTTCCGTGTGGGAAGATGGAAAGCTCTGGAGACGGAGGGTGGTGATGGTTGTATAGCAGTGTGAATGTGCTGAATGCCCCTCAAATGTACACTTAATAAATGGTTAAAATGCTAAATTTCATGTTATGTGCATTTACTACAATAAAAAAAAATCCCCAGAGCTGTGTGACCTTAAGCAAGTTACTTCACCTCTCTGTGCTTCAGTCTCCTTATTATGACATGGGACTGATGATAGTGTTTACCTAAAAGGGTTGCAGGGAGGGTTAAAAAGGAAGATGTGTCAAGGCTCTTAGCACAGGCGACTGCATGCTAAAAGGGCCTCTTGAGTGTTGGCGTAAGAGAGAAAACATCTCAAAGGCAGCCTGAGTTTTCCCCAAAAGTGAGAGCGTAATTCATGTCAGTTGTCACTCTACAGCCCTGCGGATGTGGGTGACGTGTCCTGCGCTCCAGGACACAGAACAAGACTTTTTTGTTTTAATTCCTACTCACAACTCATTTCATTGTTTCTTCTAGCAAATGCTAATGTGTCTGTCCTGAGCACATGGGACCAAATGAAATGGCACCTGGACAAAGTATTTGAATTCTCTTGGTTCCAGTACCCCCACAGGTGACATGAATTGGATGAGGTCAGTGGTCCCCCAACACTGGAGTCAAGACTGGCCTTAGGGCAGAAGTCACAACAGGGACCCCAGGAGCTTGTTAAAAATATAGATTCCTGGGGCGCCTGGCTGGCTCAGTCTGTTAAGTGCCCAACTCTTGATTTCAGCTCAGGTCATGATTTCTTGGTTGTGAGATCAAGCCCCACATCGGGCTCTGCATTCAGCTTGGAGTCTGCTTCAGATTCTCTCTGCCTCTCCCTCTCCCCCTCCCCGCCCCCGCTCATGTGCTCTCTCACTCTAAAATAAATACATCTTTAAAAAAATATATACAGATTCCTGAGCCCCACTGCAGAGACCGTTGGGGGGTAGGGGCTAAAGATTCTGGACTCTCCCCAGGTGATTCTGATTAGGTGTTGGGTCCACCTGACCAGGAGGACCCCTTGGGGGTCTCCAGGGCTGTTCTCAGCCTTGGCCATATCTGAAATCACCTGGAAGCTCTGGAAAATACCTTTTCCCAAGCTCCACCCCCAGAGGCAGATTTAATTGGTCTTTGATAGGCCCCAGGCATAGGGATTTTAAGTGAGTGCCCAGGTGATTCTCCTGTGTAGTCAGTTCTAGAACGGTGTGGTGCTCATACTTGAGCATGCACCAGAGTCACCTGGAGGGCTTGCAAAGCCATAGATGGTGGGCCTCTCCCCCAGAGTTTCTGGTTCAGGGGGTCTGGGATGGGGCTCTAGAATATACATTTCTAACAAGTTCTCCGAAGAGGCTGATGTTTCTGGATTGGAGAACACACCTGGAGAGCCACTATTCCAGAAACTTGTTACTCAAGGTGTGGCTTAGACCAGCAGCAGAGGCTTCACCTGGGAGCTTGTTAGAAACGCAGACCAGGGTCCACCTGGGGGTTTGCTGAGTCAGGGTCTGCGATGTGATTCAAGTGCACATTTGCATTCGAGAAGCACTGTTTTGGAAACAACTCTGCTTTTGAAACTTTCTGCTCTCACTGTATTCTGGAGGGGCGAGATGAAGGGCAAGGCATCTTTTCTAGAGTGGGAGGCCGAGGGGGGAGGAATGCAGGCAGCTCAGCCTGGAGTGGGCAGGCCAGCGTCAGCTCTCTGCCCCGAGCCACTTCGGTCCCCGGCGCATGCTCCGGGCAGCCCGGGCAGGATTGATTACCTTGGCGTGATTGTAAATATCCACACAGTTGTCAGTGTTAATGCTCTTTGCGCAGATGATCTCACAGTGTCGCTGCAAAGCCTCCAGCTGGAAAAATTTAGCGGCAGACAGAAGCTAAAAATCATAAGAAGAGTCTGTTAGAGGTTGGGAGGTGGAAATAAAGGGAGGACAATGGGGAAAATCCTCATTTTTCCACAGAGATGTCCCAAGGAGAAGGGCTGGGAGCAGAGGTGTGGGTCTGTCACTTTAAAGCACAAAGGAAACCCTAGAAACTGAGACACAGGGATAGAACTCTGTTGCCGAGGAAGATGGCCGAGGGGAGGGGGCTGAAGGGAACCAGGTTCACGGCTATTCTAGAGGGAGGTCAAGCGAAAATGCTTACAGTTGCCGTGTCCAGAAATAAGGAAGTAAGGGTGAACGCCCTTAGTTAGCAAGATGGACATGGATGCGGCTCACTCCTTCTGTTCAACCGGGTGTGCCCACAAAGGTCACCTTGGAGAAGCCTCCCGGACCATGCCACCTCGGGTCACTTCCCTCCGTCACTGTCCGGCTTCCTTACCCGGCCTCAGTCGCCCTCCAAGCCCTTCTCCCAGCAGACATGATGTCATGCTGTCGCCCTCAGAGAGCCCGAGAGGGCAGGGGTCTCTGTCCCTTTGCATACTGCCGTGGCGGCCCCTGAGAGGTCAAAGGGACTGACTTTGTGAGGAAAGGGTGGGGTGGGGGTGGGGGCAGGGGGAGCTGCTTTTTGGTGACAAGCCCTTCTGCATTATTTATGTGATTTACACGTGCGTTTGTTATTTCGATTTTAAAATAAAAACAAACGTGACAAAAGAGCCCACATCCTCAGATGGTAGCTTGGTCTGCAGGTGGAGAAGTGTCAGAGGCAGGGTCCAGAGAAACGAGAGAGGAACTGTGGGGGGGTGGTGGTGGGGGGGAGACGATGACCATGGAAGGGTTTGCGGAGTCCGAAGGGAAGGATCAATGGGCCACCCAGTGAATACACAGCCCTTACGGCACTCCCCAGGTGCCAGGCACCGTTCTAGGCACCTTATTATATAATCTTACAATCTTAAAAACCCAATGAGGTAGATCTTGTTATTCCCATTTCCAGGTGAGGAAACTGAGGCTCAGAGCGGTTAAATAATGCCCAAGATCACACAGCTCAGACGGGGAAGAGCCTGGATCAAAACCCCGATTGGCCCAGAGTCTGTGTGTTTTCATCACTGTGTGGGGTTATCTTTTGAAGGACCGACAGTGCTCTGACACCTCTAATCAGCCAGGCACCCTGGACTTTGGACACCTGAATGGGATCTTGGCTCCTTTGCTCGGGATTACCAGAGTGATTTTGGCTTCTGGTAGGAAAACCGACAAGGGCTCCACTTTGAGGAAGGGGCAGGGACTCTTGGCCTTGGGCAGAAGGGAGCAGAAACAAGGCCCCTGGACTCAGAAGGGGAGGGCAGTCTTGACGGAGAGGTAGGCAGCAGGTAGGGGGGAGCCAAGGGGCCTTGGGAAGAAGGGAGAGTCATCCTGAGCCCTTATAATCGGCTCCCGGCATCTGCATCAATGGACACACTGTGATTTAAGGAATGTTTTCCGATGCTAGAAGTCACCAAGGATAGCTCCTAATGTTTGCGCCCCAGCTGTGCCTAGAGCTAGAGCTGGCCTCAGCCTCCTCAGTAAACTTACCTTACCCTGCCCCAAAGCCAATTAATGTTGGATTTTGCAGAGTTGCTATTGCAAGTACACCAAGCATCCTGGTTTTCCAGGAAGGGGCTCTGCTGAGAAGCCCTCGGGAGGCCCAAGGAAGCAGGCAGGACCCCAAGGTCTGCACCCAAGTGAAAACCCAACACAGGTCCCCCGCAGACACTGCCAACACATGCCAGTGCCCTGAGTTTACAGAGATGTCACCCACCCAACAGCACAACAGATGCCTTACCTCCATTATCTCATTGTTTTTAATGAGCAGTGACTCTGGACCACCATAGTAGAGATACTGCATGACCAGCTGGAAGAAAGGACACAGAGGGCAGAGCGTCAGTCTGGGGTCAGCACACAGACACAATCCTCTTACAGCTGGGCAGTTTGTGCGTCCCTCTAGAACATCTGCTCTTGCTGGATCGCTGCCTTATGGGAGAAGTTCCACTTAGGACACATTTCCTAGTTGGATAGTTTTCCTTATTGCATGCTGCCATTTGTCTCCCTGTGGTTCTGCTGGGTTCCAGGTGCACCCCCAGCTCTGCTCTCCATCTAGAGATGGCAATCAGAGCTCTCCCCTCCCACCTCCCACCCCATCCGGCTGCCCCCAAAACACTCGGCTTGAAGAGCCTGCACCAGCGGCTGATCCCTGATCCCTTCCGGGAGCATGGCCAGGTTTGACTAGAAAATTCTTACTTAAATCCCAGAGAGAGACTCTGGGCTACCACGGGACCACCTGATCCGGGATGAAGCTGTCAGGGGTCGGGGGTTTCAACGTCTCGTTGATGGTGTGAGCAGTTCGAGCCAGGCTGCGCTCTGTTCACGTGATTCAGGAGGCCTGAATGGTGTGCCAAGTCCCAGAGCTTTGCCAACTGATGTCCCTTTAGGATGTGCAGAACTGGCCGTCACCACTTCCCATGAAACTGTTAATTTTTTAGGTGGTGCGTAGGCTTTCCAAGTGGGCATGGTCTTCTCCACCATCGTCCGCTGCCTGTCTTACGACACACGGACTCCCTGTCTGGCCCCACGGCAGCTGTGCTGGGAACATCTGTAGACTGGCTACATCCCATCTTTGGGCACTTGCAAAATGAGGCACTGGGGCTGGGCCATGCGCTACGGTCCCTGCAGGCTCCAGTGGTCTGTGACCACCATAGGGGCAGTGGTGAAGGGCAAGGACCCTGCACTCGGGCTGCCTCAGTTTCCAATCAGGCTCTGCCACTTAAACACTGGGTGACCTGAATTAGGTTAGGCTCTCTGTGCCCCAGTTTCATCACCTGTAAAGTGGGGCTAACATTACATACCTCATGTGATGAGGATTACATGACATGGAACAGGCCTAGCAAGGGCCTGGCACGTGGCAAGAACCCAGTAAATGTTAGCTCTTTGATTTTTCTGAGGTGGAAACATCTTTCTCCAGCAGCGCCTCTGCTGTGTTTTCCACTCAGGTCACTCGAGGCCCTTTGTGACCAATCTCAATCTACCTTTTGCATGTGTGTTTACAAGTAGTAGTTTTCTTAAAAAATATGTTGTTTACAGTTTCACTGAGCTGTATTTCACATAATGCAAACTGCGTCTGTTTGAAGTGCCCAGGCCACTGGTTTTAGTGGATTCATGATGTCGTGCGACTGTCCCACTGTCTAATTTTAGAACATTTCCAACACCTCCAGGAGAAACCCAGTGCCCATTACCAACCATTCCCATTTCCTCCTGGGCCAGTCCTGACACCCATGGTGGATGTGCCCGCTCCAGACATTTCACACGAGTGGAATCCTATAACAGGTGCTCTTTGGTCTGGTTGCATCCCATTTTCAAGGTTCGCCCTCGCTGTCACAGATCTCTCCTTTATTTTTATTTCTGAACAACGTACCACATTTTGTGTATCCCTTCATCAGCCTGGGGACATTTGGACTGTTCCCAATTTTTTTGCTGTTAGGAATCCCGCGGCTATGGATCAATGTACTTTTTCCCATCTCATCTGCCACTCTGCCCTTTTCTCTCCTCCTAATCACGACAGCATCTACCTTTTATACTCTGACCACTCCCAACCACTTGCCTTTAACCGAACCTACCACCTCTTTCGGTCCCACGCTTTTGCCCAAGCTGTTCCCTCTGCCCGGATTCTCCATCTGTTGAACTCGGCCCCCTCGTTTGGGATCTAGCTCAGTGGTCACATCGCTGAAACCTTCTCAGATCTGCTAGCTGCAACCCCAGGCTGGGTGCCACCTCATCTAGGACTGTAGCGTGACTTCCCACTAGAGCTCGAGGGCACCGGCGGGGCTGCCCATCTCTGCGTTCCCGCGCCTGGCACAGTGCCTGCGCTCAGCAAGCGCACTTCAAACAGGAACATGAGCCCTCTTCCTCCCTTTTGTGTTTGAGCCTCCATGTGCTGACTTTGGGCTGCCGCCGAGATGGCGATGTGTTGACGGTGGTGGCCGAGACTTTGTGAAAGGATCACACGGCCGCGGGTCCCCCCCCCCATGCTGATGGCTCATGGGCATCTAAAATACCACGTCAGCGAATGGTGGGATCCCGTTCTTACGAACGTCAACGGATTCCCCTGGCGCCTCTCTTTTATAATGGCCAAACCAATAACAACAACAATAAAACCCATAACAGCAACTGCCCCGAACACAGGGCCTCTCCATTTACAAAGCACTGCTCCATTGTGTCATCTCATTTATTCAGGGTCAGGCTGTGGACTGAAAATGCCTCTCCTTCAGTGGATGGAGATCCTGGGGCTAATGGGATTTAAATTGGGCTGTCCCTTTCTGACTTCGGACTCTGCCAACACAGGCCTTTTCTGCAAGGGAGCAAAACGAAGCCTTATGAGGCCAAAGGGCCTGTTTATCGAGTTGTTTTTCTTGGCAGCTGAAACCTGCACGAAGCCCTCAGTTCATCGGCATCCACAGCCTCCCGGAGGCCCCCACTTCCAGGTGCTGCCTCGGCTGCATCCGGCGCTCGCCTGCGTGTGATGCTAAACAGCCTTGCAGGGAGGAAACGCAAGGCAGTCTCATTTACTAAAATTCTTCTGTTGGCATGGAAGTGAAGTGAACGGGCCCCTGGGAGCCTCCTTCTGGGTCGGATTCAGCCCTCCTTAGCCTATTTCAAGCCACAAATGAGGCTTTTCTTCTTTTATAGGGAAGGGGCAAACACACAGAGAATCCCTGGGGGCCCGCTAAATCGTCCCTCCTCATTACAGTAACTTGAGGCTAATGTGGCCAGGAAACCTTCCCCAGTCAAAAGCAATTACAGGCCTCGGAGTCCTCTGGGGCTGAGCTCTCCCACGTAGGGCTCTCATTCAATGGATCCGCACGGCAAACATGGATTGAATGCCTACTACAAGGTTCTTATTACAGGAACCTCCCCAATTAGTTCCAGGCTTTATGGCTCAAGTGCCCCCTTCACAGGCACTCAGGAGAGGTGGGGAGGTGTGCATTTTTCAGCACTTAGTTCATGCTGAGACTCTAATGGGCCTACGATTCTTTCCTCAGGGCTGGGTGAGGTTTGGGGAGGGCCCAAGTCCCCACAGTAGGGAGGCAGTTAGGAGATCAGGTCTGGGAGTCAGCCAGGCCTGGCTCCGAACCTCAGCGTGGCTGTGATGAGCAGCCTGAGCTTGGGCCGCTTCCTTCCCCTCTCTGGGTCTGTGTCCTGGGGCAGCTGGAAGGACGGAATAAGGTGACATATAGCAGTGGTTCTTAGATTGGGGTCCCTGGACTGGCAGCATCACCTGGGTTCTTGTAAGAAATATAAATTCTCGGGGCCCCAGTCCAGGCCTACAGAATCTGGAACTCTGGGGGCGAGGCCCAGGACTCTGCATTTCAACTTTTGTGTCTTATCAAGCCAACGCCTTCCTCCTCTGCCCTGGAGATTCCAGTACCTGCTCAAGGTGGAGAACCACCGTGGTGTGGAGAATGGTTTCTCCACCTTGGTTGCACTCTGGGACAAAGGGAGGAAGGCAGAGACTTCAACATTCTGATGCCTGGGCCCCAGCCCAGGTTCTGATGCACAGCCTTGGCACGGGAAATTTTTAAAGCCCCCTCATATGACTCCAGTGTCTAGCAGGGGCTGAGAAGCACTGGCTTTGAGCCTGACACATAGCCAGCGTTCAAGAAATGCGAGCTGTTCTTACCACTGTTCCCCTTTAGGAAGGGGATTCCAGAACCAAGTGTCCAGGCTTTGGCACCAGATGGATGGTTCCCGTCCTGGCTCTGTCCCTAAGTAGCACTAAGACTGGGGCACAGGATTTAAGTTTTCTGAGCCTCAGTTTTTTCGTTTCTAAAACTGGCAAGAAAAATCCAGATAGGGGCACCCGGGTGGCTCAGTCGTTAAGCGTCTGCCTTCGGCTCAGGTCATGGTCCTGGGGTCCTGGGATCGAGCCCCACATCGGGCTCCCTGCTCGGCAGGGAAGCCTGCTTCTCCCTCTCCCACTCCCCCTGCTTGTGTTCCCTCTCTCGCTGTCTCTCTCTGTCAAATAAATAAATAAAACCTTAAAAAAGAGAATCCGGATAACCACGGGGGAGCAGAGGTCAGTGTCTCACTCATAGCTGGAGCCCCACAGAGGTTTCTTCACCGTCTTCCCACCGCGAATCCTAAAGCAAAGCAGCAGTTCTTCTGAAAAATTTCAAACTCCACAGCCACCACCGTTCCAGAAAGGGTTGTGGCTACTTGGCTGTCAGCAAGGAATGTGGTGAGGGGCTGGGTGCAGGGGTGTGCCAATGCCCTAGTCCCACGCTGGGGCTCCAGCCTCCTTGCTGCCCGCCCCCCGCCTCCGTGGGATGGCTCACCCAGACTGGTCTTGTCCTTGGAGACCTCTTTTGCCCTTTCCCCCACGGTCAGTCCAAAGTAACCTACTCTACAGGGCCTTGTGCTGAGTAGGCAGGTGGTTTACCAGTTATGGCTCAGAAAAACAAAAACCCACTTAAAATTGCCAAGTTGAATGCTTCCTCGTGTTGTCCTACTTGCTAATCTCTGCAAGAACCCATGACCTAGAGGTGAAAATGATTAACTTGTTAAAAATGGAGAAAATGAGGCTCAGAGAAGAGTGCCTTGCCCATAGTTACTTGGGAAGGAGTCTTTCTTTTGAAGTTTCAGCATAACCAAAGAAATGCATCTCTAATAGTGGAGATGCAGGCACCTCAACAGGCTTTAGGGCCTGGTGTGAGGGTATGGTGGCTTCCTGGCAGCTCTCTGGACAGCAGGATCTGGGGGACCAGGGTCAAGGGCAGAGGAGAGAACCACCATCTGGCCTAACTTCTCCTGACTTGGCTCATACTATGCGGTCCCAGGGAGTCTTTTCAGTCTCCAATATACCTTAGGACCTGGCCGAATAGACTGATAATCACTTTCCCTCAAACACACCCCATGACTTCCCATTACTGTGCCTTTGTTTATGCTGTTCCACCCCCTGCGGTACCGCCTCTCCCCCATCCACCAGATGAGGAAGGGAGCCTTGGAAGGGCTGCTGAACTGCCCAAGGCCCTGTGATAGACACTGATTTTAAACAGCAAAATGCTGCTCTTCAGCCCCGGACTGCAGCTCTGTCCTCCCAAGTCCAGATCAGGAGCCTTGCCCTGCTGCCCTGGTCACAGCCAGCCTCGTCCCCCACCCCCCAGGATCTCTGAGCGGCTTCAACACCCCTGTTGGAGCATGAGTCCCCCACGGACCTGCCCGAGCCTCAGCCACCTGTGTGCTCTTCCCAGGGCTGAGCTTCCTGAGCTGAACTGCAGGAGACAAGATCCTGCTCAGAATCCCACAGATTCCAGCCCCGGGGTCCCCCACATTGTCGGCTCACTAACCCTGGCAGGTGGGAGGACAGCATGTCTTTAAAAGTCTGCTGGCTTCTGATCACACTAGGCTGAACCACAGCTCTGGGGCTTCGTCCCTGCTGTTCTTTGCCAAGCATCTCCTAACCCCCCCCCTTTTTTTTTTGGCTTTGATCAGGTCTTTATTCAAAATTAGCTGTAACACCCAGTGCTCCATGCAGAACGTGCCCTCTTTAATACCCATCACCAGGCTAACCCATCCCCCCACACCCCTCCCCTCTAGAACCCTGTTTTTCAGAGTCCATAGTCTCTCCTGGTTCGTCTCCCCCTCCGACTTACTCCCCTTCATTCTTCCCCTCCTGCTATCTTCTTCTTTTTTTTTCTGAACATATATTGCATTATTTGTTTCAGAAGTACAGATCTGTGATTCAACAGTCTTGCGCAATTCACAGCGCTCACCATAGCACATACCCTCCCCAATGTCTATCACCCAGCCACCCCCTCCCTCCCACCCCCAACCACTCCAGCAACCCTCAGTTTGTTTCCTGGGATTAAGAATTCCTCATATCAGTGAGGTCATATGATACATGTCTTTCTCTGATTGACTTATTTCACTCAGCATAACACCCTCCAGTTCCATCCATGTCGTTGCAAATGGCAAGATCTCGTTCCTTTTTATGGCTGCATAATATTCCATTTTGTGTGTGTGTGTGTGTGTGTGTGTGTGTGTGTGTGTGTGTGTGTACATATATATATGTATATATATATACCACATCTTCTTTATACATTCATCTGTCGATGGACATCTTGGCTCTTTCCACAGTTTGGCTATCGTGGACATTGCTGCTATAAACATCGGGGTGCATGTGCCCCTTTGGATCCCTACCTTTGTATCTTTGTCTAACCCCCTTTTTTAAGCCCCAAGCCTTCCTATGGTTCCCCAACTTCTCTGCAGCCTTCACTATTCCAGCTAACACCTCATCAGGAGGCCTTCTCTGATTTCCCTGGTCTGAGTTGCCAGAGCACGTTGGCTCCCCTCCTTTCTTTCCTGCCCATCCCTGTGTTATACTGTAGGAGATTAGTTACTCAGAGTTACCCCCTCTGGACTGTGGGGCCCCAGGGGAGGAAGCTCATTGACCCTTGTGTCCCCAGGTCCCAGCAGAGTGCTAGGTATACAGTAAGTGCTCAATAAATGCTGTAGGGATAAAACGATGGTAAACTGGCGGGGGTGGGAGAAGGGGCCCAGAGTCAGGGGACTGATGACTCTGCAGTGGCCAAACCACAGGTGGATGTCTGCAGGGAAGCCCTGTGTCCTGTGCCCACCAGCATGACGTTCCAGGCCACGGTGGGGGCGGGAGGGGGCTCACCTGAAAGATGGGGTACTTCACATAACCGATCTCTATGCAGGTGCTGTCATTTGTTGGTTTGCTGGACAGGAGCGCTTTGAACCTGAACAAGGACACAAGAAGGGAGATGAAAAGACCCACAGACGCATCCATGGTTTGCAAAAAACTCCACTCTCTGATGAGAGAGACACGTAAAATCCTGTATTCCCTCCACTTTGCAATACATTAATGATATAGCCACAGATGTCCTAATGCGACCGCCACCCCAGTGTGATATCATACTCGAATCTGAAGTTACAACTTTATTACTTTTTTTTAAAGGTTTTTATTTAAGTAATCTCTCTGCCCAACACGGGGCTCGAACTCCTCACCCCTGAGATCAGAGTTGCATGCTCTTCCGACGTGCGCCAGCCAGGCTCCCCTGAACCACTATTTTTAACTTTAAAGTTTTAACTTCAGGGGTGCCTGGCTGGGAACACACTGATGCACCTTTAGGAATAAGCTAAGCTGTGTCTCTTTTCTTAAACTTTTAATTTTGAAATAGTGATAGATTTGCAGAAGAAGTGTAAAGGCAATACAGAGCTCCTATATGCCCTCCGCCCAGCTTCCCCTGATGTTAGCATCCTGCACAGCCACGGCTGTCAAAACTAAGAAATTACCCCTGGGACAACATTTCTCCTGCTTTTCTATGCATCGTAACGGAGAACCACGTAAGGCACAGCGTATTTTTCTCGTGGTGGCAAAGCAGACATCTGGCGCTTGTCTTTGGCTTTGGGGGCAGGCAGTGGGAGGCCAGGGGAACCCAGGGAGTGCTGGTCACACATGCTCATCAGCAAACATCCTGGAAGTAGGTTCCACTTCTGGGTCCGCAGTGTCCTCACCCTCCGCTTACCCAGCGGCCTCCTCACCTCCAGCCTCTCCTCCTCTGTGCACCTTCACTGATCCCAGTTCAGGTCTTTGGATAATGTGGTCATTATTCTAAATGGTCAACTCATTTCAACTCAAATCGAAAGGACAAAGGGCAGTTGCAAAGCTGTCAGGGAGGGGGCTATGCTGTTCTCAGCTCCACAGTTAGGGAAAAGTCAGGTTCAAGACCTGTGTATTTGGGGTGGCTTATGCCAGAGTTCTGGGATATTTGGAGAACAGGCCTGAGACGTTTCAGGCTGGACACTGTGTGAGGGCACTGGGCCGGGGGAGCTAAAATCCAATCCACACTCTTTTCCAAACCTCTGTGCCTGGTACATACTCTGTGTGTCCAGAGGAATGGGTGCCCTTGCCTGAGTCACACAAAGGCACTGCTGTTTAAGCTAGAGGCTTCTCTGTACTTTACAACTGTGGTGAAAAACACGTAATAGAAAAAATTACCGTCTTAACCATTTTAAGCATACAGAGATGTTAAGTGTATGCACACTGTTGTGCAACCAATCTCCAGAACCTACTCTGGACCCATTAAACAACAACTCCCCACCCTCCCCTGCCCCCAGCCCCAGGCAACTAGCATCCTACTTTCTGTCCCTATGAAGCTGACTACTCTAGGTACTGCCTATAAATGGAATCATACACTATTTATCTTTTTGTGACTGGCTTATTTCTTTGCATAATGTCCCCAAAGCTCAACATGTTGTTGCATTTGTCAAAACTGCCTTCCTTTTTAAGGCTAAATAAAATGTGTATATGCCACATTTTGTGTATCTGTTCATCTACCGATGGACATTTGGGTGGCTTCTACTTTTTAGCTGCTGTGAAGAATGCTGGTGTGAGCACGGGTGCACGAATGCCCTCTGCTCTTGAATTCTTGATTTTGAAAAGATAATCTTCCCGTCTAGGGAAGGTAACCCCCAAAATTGAATTTCAGAGAACTATTACAGTACATACCTGGGAGAGGCCGTGAATAACAGCACTTTGTGAGCGTAAAACGGTCTTCCTTCTACCAGAAAGGTAACATCAGACATTTCTTTATTGTTAAGGAAATGAGGATCTAGAATAGGAAGGGGAAAGAGGGTAGCTTTAGTGGAGAGAAGGGTGAAGTTTGCATTCCGCTTCTGGAAAGCGCCAAGAAGAGCTAACAGGGAAGCCATGGGGATAAGATACTCATTGGCGAGACAGTGAGCCAACAGGGGACAGAACCAATCAAAGGAGCACTCAAATCACGGAAATTCAGTTTTGCATTGGAAATCTTCATAGCTTAGTTGTGATTAAAAGTAGCATCTCCTCAGAGGAGACCCATCCCCAGCCTGATGCAGATGACTTTTGGATGTGAAAGGTATGCCCACCTTGCCTCTGAAGAATGCCACCCCCCCCACCTTAACTCCTCCTTCTTGGGCTCAGGGCCCTCCCTGCCTGATGGATAAGGGGTTTTCCAGGTGATTTGAAATCCAAGCGCTTCTCTCCCAGAGTCAGAGGCACGTGAACCAGTTCCCTGCTCTCGTCTCCAACAATAACAAAGAAGGTAGAGCTGGTACTTACTGAGCCCTTAGGACGCACCAGGCACTGTGCAAGCTGGCACGCACATGTGCAAATGCGCTGGGTCCCAGGAGACAGGGACCACTGTCCGTTGTGCAGCTGGGGAAGCAGGCACACAGACGTTCAAGCCAGCGACAGGTGGAGGAGCCAGGATTTGAACTCGGGCATTTGGATTGGAGCGCTGGCCTTGTTCAGCACTAGGATCCTTCCCGCCTCCCCCCTACCCACCCCCACCCCGATTTGCCTATCACTTTAGCCACGGAGACCTGGAGCTCCTGAAGGTGCCAGTCTCTCCTCAGCTCAGGGCTTCTGCTGCTTGGGAAAATCCACTAACATCCCTGCCCCGACTGGCTTCGGCCCCGCTCAGGTCCTAAGTCAGTCTGGACACAGGTTTGAGGGCAAGGTGGGTCTAACCTCTGGTGGGGCTTCCTCTTAGGTCTGCCCTGAGCCCACCTGGGCTGTGCTGCCCCAGGGAGGGTCTTTAGAAGACTCTAAATGGAAGATGACCTCTCTGGGGGCATCTGGACCCAAGCTCCCCAGTCTGAAGGATGCACTGCGTTCTCAGCTCAGGTGAAGAAGATTCTTTCTGTAAAACGTGCCTTGCCCAGTGCTTCTGGTCCCACGAATGGCACCACCATCTAACCGCTGCCCAAGCCAGGGATTCAAAGGCAACAGGACACCTTCCTCTCCTGCGTTTACCCAGACCCAGTCTATCACAAACACTGTCTTCTCTTCCTCCTAAGTGTTTCTCAATTCCATTTCTCTCCAGCCCTAGTGCCGCAGCCCTCCCTAGGGCCACCACGTGGTCTCTTGTCTGGGGACCTGCAGGAGCCTCTGTTGGTCTCTGCCTCCACTCTTGGCCCCTCAATCCGATGGTCCACCTCACCACAGTCATCTTTCCTAAAGGCAGATCTGATCACACCCCTCCTCTGCTATAAACCTTTCCATAGCTCCCCAGTGCTCCCAGGATAGAGTCCAAACTTCTTAACAAGGCTCCTGGTGATTGGGCTCCCGCTGCGTTCTCCGGCCTCTCCCCACTCACATCCCCCTGTCAACCAGCATGTGTGCTGAGCCACACCAGTGCTACACGCTCTCAGCTCTGGCCCTTCACCTGCGGTTCCTTCTACTCAGAACACTCTTCCAACCCCTTCCAAACCTGGCTCACCCATGTGGTCTTCAAGCTTCAGTGCAGACACCTTCCATCAATAAGCCTTGCCCGATTCCCCCACCCTCCTCAGACTGACCAAGCATCCCCGACCGGCGCTCTCACGGCACCTGTACGGCCCCTGGGGTGGGCTCTGAAGCCAGAACTCTCAGCTGTGTGACCTTGGGCAAGTTGTTTAACCTCTCTGAGCCTCTCTCCCCCCTTCTGTTTAATGGGTAATACCCATTGTACATCTACATGAGTTTCAGTGAGCATTAAATGAATTTTTGCAAAGCACTCAGCGACATGGCTGACACACAGCACTCCTCGATAAACATGACCATCGTAGTAGATGCTTCATTAATATTTTTTTGAATGAGTGTAAGAATGCCTTGACTCTTGTTTCACAGTCTTGTTCTTAAAACCTTGTGGGGGACATCAGACCCCTTCTTAGCCTGGGGACCTGCTTGTTGCTGGGCCTCGCCCAGGGCTTACAGGGCTGTCCTGAAATGAAACTCTAGCTGCTTCCTTCGGCTGGGTTTAGGCTGTCCTAACCATTGGCGGTGGGGACCAACCCCCTGGATTCCTGGGGGCCATGAGCCCAGCTGTTGGGCCCACCCTGACGGTTGTATCTTGGATCCCTGGTCTGGCCCCATTTTGCCCAGACCCTGGTGTTACTTGGACCCAGAATTTGCCTTCCTGGCAGACTCTCCTCTTCCAGCCCTCAAAGGTGGGGTGGCCCCGCAGTCCCTATGCGGCCCCATAAGGTGGCCCTCTGTTCATATTTCTGTCGCTATGTAGAGCTACCTCACTTCCTTTTAAGAAAAGTTTTAACTTAGAACATATCAAAAAAGCATAAAACAGTCAAAATCACTTGTAATCCCACTATCATTAAAATATTTTATTGAAAAAACTCACATACATCTAAACAACCCAGATGAAGAGAAGAGAGGCCCCAGAAGTCCTCTGAGTTGACTAAAATTCACTTCTCCACTTGCTTTAAAGACTAAAAGTTTGGAATGATGTTCTCCCTCTTCTCAGCGACCACCCCCTCTCACTCCCACTGTCCGCCACCAACCAGACCTACTCCTGTTTCCCAAATTGCTGATGTCTCCTACCTGTGGCTCTTTTAACCATTCTCTCCCAGAATTCACTGGGAGGGGAAGAGGACAACACGTCACAAAAAATCAGGCATCAGTGTGCCACAGTCCCCACCATTCCCTACTGTCTTACACGGAACCCATTTCTTTCACTGATATGGCCTCCTGGCTCTTTAGAGATTCCAGTTTGTGACCCTTGTCACTGAGCACTCTTATCTTTCCTTTAAAGCTGGTCCCTAAAGAAACACTGTTTGGCAACTTCTACTTATCCTAGCTGGAAATGCTCTATTGAAGAGGCAAACCCTACGTGTTCCATATTCTACTTATTCATAATTAGATTCTGCCCCTCTTCTTCCATACTGTGAGCTTTGAGCCTCTTAGGCCGGTCTTCTCTCAGTGCTAACCCCTGGAATTCTAGTGGTTGGCCTGAAAATCAGGCCCTTTTAATTGGGGGTGAAAGAACACTCAGCAAATGCAGGAGGAAAAAATGTTCCCTCCTCGCCTATAACTACAGGAAAGCAGATTTTATGCTGTGTCATTGAATTGGCCCTTGCAAATGTTTGCTCGAACGAGGGTGTCTTGTGAAGGCACTGAGATGTCAGACATGATTGCTACAGCCTGGGAATGTAACTAAACTTCAGTCTCTGAAGCCTGTTAATATGATTGGTCTTTGTAATGTGGGGCCCTGATAACACTTTAATCAACACCTGCTTTCTACAAGGTAGAAATATTTGTGGTTTTGGTACATCATAGTTTGCCCACATCAATGGGCATAGAGGAAAACAGACAAGATTTGACTTGATTACTAAGTCAAAAAGTTGCATCATTTCAATTAGCAAGTTCTTCATGACAGGAACAAAACGATTTTAAAACAGTTCCAGGAATTCAGACTTTTCACTAATTTTAACCAGCTCACCTGTTCCAAACATAATGGTTCTGCTAAAGAATAGCATTTTCAGATGCTCCCATTTCTCAAATGTCTTTACAGGAAAACCTGCCACTTCTGGCAGGTTCCAAGAGAACCCTCCCACCCCCCCAGACCTCATGCACTGTTTGCTCAGCAGGAAAAGTTCATAGGGAGTAGGAAAGTCCCCAACTTTATTAGAAAAGGCATTCCTTATCTTGAATATTTTATCATTCCCCAGGCAGCAAGGAGAAAGCCCCTTGCAACAGAAGGCTCATGTTTCAGGCTTCAAGGCAGCCCAGCATTTCTTTGCTTTTTTTCTCAGACTGATCAGCCAGCTTACAGCAACAGCTCCAGGATCCTCTGAATGAAATCAATGCCTGATAGAAAGGTTTCTCCTGGAAAATTCCAGAAGCTGGGACTGTAGCGGGAAGGAATTATGGCTTTGGGAGGAGCTGGGAAGCTCTAGCCCCACCTGAAGTGATCGTCAGCGCCAACCTTCCCTTTCTTCAGCCAAGATGAGGGGCGGGGGGGGAGGGGGCGCAGGGTCTGCCTCCTGGGGTGGCCTCAGGGTTACCTAAGGTGGGGCAGGTGAAGTGCTAGGCTGGCGCCAGCCCCATGCCTGTCCAAGCAGAGGCAAAATGGATTACTGCTACTCGGATGGGATTTCAGAGTGTCCAGTATGCTCAGCTCAGGTATGTTCCCCGTGTGTGTGTCTGTGTGTGGGGGGGAGGAGGTCACTTGTTTCTTCTCCTGGGTCCCTGCAGAGGGACCCTGTTAGAGGAACACTGCTGGCTTGTCACTGTCCCCTGCTTGTTCCTCCTCAGGGAGGAAGAGGGACTTCTTAGAGGGGAGGGGGAGAACTGCCTGCACAGCTCAGCCTTCCTTCGGAATGGGGAATCTACCTGCCTGCAGGAAGTGCATGGGCCCCGGGGCTGTCCGTCTGTTTCCGGGGGAAAAAGTCCCTTAGTTAGAGAGACGACGTACTGGCCAGTCTCCTTGTCCACATTTCCAAGATATAGTCTCCAGTTATCACGTGGTAAGTGATACCATGATCTCCACCTGCCTGACTCCTGTATCCATCTCATGTGCCCTCCAACACCGCCTAGCTTCTTTGAGGGCGTTTGCTACCTCTGCGTCCTCAAACCACAGCACCACTCACCCAGGCGCGAGGTCTGTTTGCGCTTGATCTCCGTGAGCTTGGGGATGGGGTAGGGCCCATAGCAGTGGGTGAAGATGACGCACAGCTGCTGGCTGATGACCTCGTTCTGCAGAAAAGAAAGAACGGTTCACACTGCTGGGCCCTGCGTGGCCTCATCCAAGCTGTGAGCAGGAATGCCTGCCCCCAGGCGAGCGGGGCCCACACACTTCTGGCAGGTTCCAAGAGAACCTCCCCAGCCCCCGAGACCTCATGCACTGTTTGCTCAGCAGGCCCTGGATGTGCTTGCTGTGCTTGTCGTCTGTTTCTGGTCTGTTCACTGGTGAAAGCTTAATTTGTAATTAAATCCTTCTCTCTTGCCCCAATCATTTACCACCCATTGGAGAGCAAGTGTCACAGCTCACAGAGTGGAAAATAAGTTTTTACCTCAAACACACCTTTATCAATACTCCATAATTCTGGAAGCAGTGAATTATCCCGAAAATAGTAGCAGGAAGCCCTTGTGATCCCGTGACTGCTTGCCATTACCCAGACACAAATGTTCCTGATTCAGCTTCTTAGGAGTATGATTTTGGTGCTGAAGCATATCCGGATCCAGGAATGCTCAGCTGAATCACTTTCTCCAAAAAAAAAAAAGGGGGGGGGGGGACAGAGCTACAGCTGCCTCTGATCACACAGGGACAAAAGAGCCTGTTTCTGATTGCCCTGTGTCCTTCATGTTTTCGCCTCTCCCCCTTGGGACCCACTGCTGGTCGATAATCTCCCTTCATCTGCAGGTGCGTGGGAGGGAAGCCATGAATCACAGCATTTGATACTTTTTATTGGGTGAAGGGGGTTGAAACTAGGGGCTGAAAATGGGGATGAGGTAGAAAGACATTTACAATATATTAAGAAAAGTAGGTTACAACACAGTGTGTACCATGTATTTTTGGAAATAAAACCCTTTACGTATATATACGTGGATTGACAGATATGTATAGAAAATGTCTGGAAGAGTAGAGTTGCCACCTTTGGGTGGGCTTACGATGTTTTCCCTTTTTACCTGCATTTTCTACAACAAACAACTAAGTGTTGTTTTTGTAATATGTGCAATAAATATTATTTTTGATTTTTAAAAGATGGGTTTGGGACAACTGATGACGTCCGTGGTTTGAGATATTCTTGAATCTATTTCATCGTGCTCCTGAAGCAGAAGGATACAGCTCAACACATGAAAAGGGAATCGACCGTTTGATTAAAGGCACCATGTTGCCTTGGACGTGATCCACTGAGGTGCCTATAGGGATGAAATCAATATTGGATAAAGGAATTCTGCTTTCAAAGATGATGCCTTATGGGGCACCTGGGTGGCTCAGTCGTTATGCGTCTGCCTTAGGCTCGGGTCATGATCCCGGGCTGCTGGGATCGAGCCCCACATCGGGCTCCCTGCTCGGCGGGAAGCCTGCTTCTCCCTCTCCCACTCCCCCTGCTTGTGTTCCCACTCTCGCTGTGTCTCTCTCTGTCAAGTAAATAAAATCTTAAAAAAAAAGATGATGCCTTATGACCAAAAGGTGTTCAACGCTCCTCTCAACACTCACAAAGTGATCGCCTGCCTCAGGGCTTCCTGCGGTGGTTCTCAAAGTGTGGTCCCTAGACCAGCAGCATCAGCATCACCTGGGTGTGTTGGAAATGCAGATTCTCAGGTGCCATTCCAGACCTTCTGACTCAGAAGCACTGGGGGTGGGGCCCAGCAATCTCTATTTTAACAAGTTTTCTGGTGATTCTGGTGCTCTCTTAGGTTTGAGAGCCACAGGTATGTAGGGATATTCTCTCTTAAGTTTGACCTGAGCTGGAGGCTATTATGTTTGTTTCCCCTGGTCTAAAGCCTGCCACGTGAGATGTGTCCCATAGACTGCCAGCAACAGTGAGGCCTGGGAGCCTGTCAGAAACGCAGACGCTCACCCCAGGCCCATTGACTCAGAAGCCACAATACCGAGTTCTGGGGATGATTCCCATGCACTCTAAGGTTTGAGAAGCGCCGTGTGCTGGGCACAATTATGGTCCCCTGGAAGACTGTATCCCCCAAATCCCTGGGACTGAGAATATCGTGAGATACCATGCCTGTAAATATGTTACATTACAGGGCAAAAGGGGCTGTGCAAGAGTGATTAAAGTTACTAACTGAGGTTTAAATTGACCTTATGGTAAGTATATTATCCTGGATTATCAGGGCAGGCCCAATGTAATCACACGAGCCCTTAAAATTAGAGGCAAAAGAGGAAGGGGCACCTGGGTGGCTCAATCATTAAGCGTCTGCCTTTGGCTCAGGCCATGATCCCAGGGTCCTGGGATCCCGTCCCATATCGGGCTCCCTGCTCAGCGGGAAGCCTGCTTCTCCCTCTCCCGCTCCCCCTGCTTGTGTTCCCTCTCTCGCTGTGTCTCTCTGTCAAATAAATAAATAAATAAAATCTTAAAAAAAAAAAAAGACTTTTAAAATTAGAGGCAGAAGAGGAATTCAGAAGGGACTGGGGAGAAGAGGAAGTCACAGGGATTTGAAGCCTGAAGGACTTGATGTGCTGTCACCGGCTTCCAGATGAGGGGGACCACATGGCAAACTTGAGTGGGGGAGTGCAGGGCAACAACTCTGGGAGGAAAATGGGACCCCCAGCTGGCAGCCAACAAGGAAATGGGGCCTTTGTCCTACAACCACCAGGAACTCAATTCTACCCAAACCTGAATGAGCTTACAGGTGGATTCTTCCCTGGAGGTTCCAGAAAGGAACACAGCCCTGTTGACACCTTGTTTTTGGGTTTCTATGAGACCCTAAGCAGAGAGCGCAGCGAGATACTATGTCCAGTTTCCGACCCATGGAAACCACGGAAAAACAAGCAAGTGTCTAACCACCTCGGGTGAAGGAATGAAGGAAGATCCACGTCCTGGACTCGGTGGCCTGTGACAGAGGCCTGAGCAGCTGGTGCTCTTCTTTGGCAGCTGATTGATTGATTGATTGATTGGTGGTGGTCTAACTTCAGTGTGTGCTGTGTCATCCGAGAAAGTAAAGGTAAGGGCTGGCCACGTCTGGTCCAAAGGGATAATCCTCAAATGCTTATAAGTTACTTGGGAGGAGCATCACTGTCCACTCCTAGGGGAGGGCTGCACACAGTGACTCGATTCCAAGGAGAACAGTTGGGAAAAGGGGAAAAGAGTAATTCTGCCCATGAGAAGCTTGATAGGCACCACCCTCAGCCAGGTGATCAAGGTCAACGCCAGCAGTGAATACTCATGTTGAGAGTGTGTGCCCTTGATGTGGTGGGAAAGGCACTTGACCTCTGTAGTCTTCTGCTCTAAATCCACAACCCCAGTTTAACCACGAGAAAAACACCCCCTATTCCACTAGAGGGCACCCTTTATAGTATATCTGACTGACAACTCCTCAAAATTTGTCAAGGTCACAAAAAACGAGTCTGAGAAGTGGTCTCAGCCAAGAGGAGTATTGTGGTGTCCTGGATGGGATCCTGGAGCAGAAGACATTAGACAAAAACTAAGGAAATAGGAATAAAGTATGGAATTTAGCTAATAATAATGTATCAGTGTTGGCTCATTGATTAAAACAAATGTACCATACCAGATAAGATGTTAATAATAGGGAAATGTGAGTGAGGGGTTGTATGGGGAACTCTGTGCTACTTTCTCAATTTTTCTGTAAAGCTAAAGCCATTCTAAAAAATGAAGTCTATTATTGGAAAAAAAATCTGCCCCATGAGGAAACAGGAAAATTATGATGAAAGTATTAGAGAAGTTCAGGAGAAAGGGAAAGAGGAAGAGTCAGGGGTCAAAGTGGACACCGACGGTTCCCCGGGTTTTATTCATTTATCCCCTAAAGTTCTCATGAATGTGAATATTACGCCATGTGCTAAGTGATGTAGCCATTCACACATTAATTCTTTCTTCAAATATTTATTGGGTATCTACTAAGTGCCGGACACTATGTGAAGGTTGATGGTGATGCTCCCAAGGTCAGGACCCCAAATGCTGCCTTTCTCAAGGCTTTCTTGGCCACCTCTCTTTCAGACACCAGAGCCCCAAGAGAAAACTCCCCACTGTATCCTTGAATTCATCTGGGTTTGTTGAGGTGTCTGCTCTGCGCCCTTTCCCGTGCATTTCCTCCAGCTAGAGGGATTGCTGGTATCATTCACTCCAGTTCCCCAGCACCCAAACAAATCAGGACTCCAGGAAGGCTCCTCTGAGCAAGAAGGGGTGATGTAATTAGTATCAGTTAATAGCTCCAGTGGGGTGAGACCCACTGGGTTAGATGGTGAGTTTGGGGCAAGGAACTGGGTTATCTTTTGGGTTTGGTTAACTCTGGCCTCAAACCTGAAGGCAGCAGAATGGAATTAACCAAACTTGAGGCTCACCCTATTTTGGAGGTGGGGAGGTGGGGTAGTTGTGCTGGGAAGATGCCTATATTCTTCTCTGAGTTGTACATTTAAGAGAAGGGCTGGGGCGCCTGGGTGGCTCAGTCAGTTAAGCGACTGCCTTCGGCTCAGGTCATGATCCTGGAGTCCCGGGATCGAGTCCCGCATCGGGCTCCCTGCTCAGCGAGGAGCCTGCTTCTCCCTCTAACCCTCCCCTCTCTCATGTACTCCCTCTCTCTCTCATTCTCACTCTCTCAAAATAAATAAATCAATCTTTAAAAAAAATAAGAGAAGGGCTTGTAGGTAAAGGTGCCACAGGGCTTGACTCTCAGGGGCAGTAGGCCAATCTGGGAGGCCAGGGCAAGCCTGTGGAGGAGGAGGAGGCGTGGGCTGGGCATGGGTGGGCGTCTGGCCGAGCTGAGTACACAGCACCTGGTTAGCGGTTACGGGTATGCTGCTAGGTACCGGCCACTCAGGTCTCTCGTGGAAAATGCCGGGTGTGCACATGGGGTGAACTTGGGTCCTCAGGACTCAGAGCCGTGTGGCTACGTAGAACGAAAGGGGAATGAAGTGAAGTTCTTAACGCCACGGTTGGCAGGCGACTCCTGAGATGGGCGCCTGTGAATTTGGGGATGACATCTCTCCTCTCTTCCTCGGACTCCCACTTCTCTCCTAAGAAGATACCAAAACATTTTCTTTTCTTCAGAAAGGAATG